GCTTGCGGCAACTATGGCAGCTGCAATGATAATAATATGCCGTTTCTGTGCAAATGTTTGCCAGGTTTCAAACCCCAGTATCTACCGCAGTGGAATTCTGGAGACTTTTCAGGTGGATGCACAAGAAAGTCCTTATGTGTTGACAGCAAGAATGATACCTTCTTGAGCTTGAAGAAGATGAAAGTGGGAAACCCAGATTCACAAATCAACGTTGACAATGAAACAGTATGCTGGAACCAGTGCTTAAATAGCTGCCAGTGTAAGGCTTATTCATATGCTAAATCTGAAAACTATAGTCATCGAAGGGATGCGCATGCGCCTACTTCATTGTGCAGAATATGGAACGAGGGAGATCTAAATAATCTTGAAGAAGAGTATACTGATGGGGGTCAGGACCTCTCTGTTCGTGTTGCATTGTCTGATTTAGGTATTCTTCCTCTGAAGCTTCCCAAAACGAACAAATGAATGTCTGGATGGCAGAACTATTTACTTTGTGAATTAGATGATCAAACCATTTTCCAGCGAAAAAGTAGAACTCAGAAAGAACTTCAGTTACATGAGCTTTATCTTTATGCTTTCTGTTGTTTCACGCTATTCCTTACATGTATATATCGTTTCAATTAGCTCGGTTCTATTTATATTTGATTAAACTTGGGGTTAAAATTTTTGAACATAATTGCAAAAGCATGAGATTATTCGATGTGAACATAAATGAGGTAGTGATAATTTCTTAGCTCGTTATGGCAGTCAATTAATTACACCTTGTGCAGAATCAACTGTAAGAGACTGTAAGCCTTGTGGCACAACCATCATCCCTTATCCCCTGAGCACAAGACTGGGTTGCGGTGACTCCATGTACTTCCGTTTCAAGTGCAACGACTCCACAGGTCAGGTTAGCTTTGTGGGACTGAATGACACCTTGTTTAGAGTTATTAGCATAAACTCAAGTACCCAGAGATTTTTCATCCAAGGCTTCCATACCGAAAATGTAGATAAATGTGATCCTAGAAACAGAGCAGCTAATTGGCAGATCAATCCATCGTTTCCATTTAAAGTAATCAGTCTGTGTAAAGCGGGAGCCTTGTGCACTGGGTACGACCTTTTTTTTTTTTTTTAGTCTGTGTAATGCTGACCTGGGTAATTTTAGTTCTGAAGTACTGTCATCCAGAGGTCCTAATGTAATGGCGATGGGTTGGGAACTACCAATGGAACCAACCTGTACAACACCCGCAGACTGCAGGGATTGGCCACATTCAATTTGCAATCCTGCAAGAGACAGAAAGAAAAGATGCCTTTGCAAAACCAATTTTCGATGGGATGGCTTGAATTGTACTCAAGGTGAGAGTTTCATGTTAGGTGTAAAATTTCGGTCATGCATGTTCCCTCTTGCAAATCAAAATTTTATGTTGATACGAGTGCTGCAGAATCGTTTTACATTGTACAATACAGTAAAAATGATTATATGACAATAAAAAATATTTTCTTTTCTTTCTTGCAGAAGGTCATCTTCTAGGGCCACCAAAAGAAGAGCATACGAGAAGAAAATTGCCATTGTCTCTTAAAATTGTAGCGGTACTTTTAAGTGTGATTTTTCTGGCGTGCATCGTCATTTCCATTTATATATGGCGAAGAAATACGAACAACAAACGAGGTAACTGCTTTTCTATATGCGTTATTGTCATTAAAGATCTGCAGAGTTGTTCATAGTTGATGATGTCTTCAATTCCCTGTATTAGATCAAATAAGACGAGGACAATTTGATAGTGAAAGGAGAGTCAAGGAGTTGATAGACACAAGCGAGTTCAAGGAAGAGGAAGGTATAGATGTACCTTTTTTTGATATGCAAACTATACTAGACGCAACAGATAATTTCTCAAATGCAAACAAGCTTGGACAAGGGGGATACGGGCCTGTTTACAAGGTAATCAAACAGTTGTTTACCATTCCTTAGCACTCAAATCACCTTATATAGCAACAAATTTATACGTAAGGGATTTTGTTGCCAGGGAGTGTTTCTTGGAGGCCAAGAAATCGCGGTGAAAAGGCTATCAAGGGTGTCAGGACAAGGCTTACAGGAATTTAGAAATGAGGTGGTGCTGATCGCCAAACTTCAACACCGAAACCTTGTTAGACTTAAGGGCTATTGCATGAAAGGAGAAGAAAAGATCTTACTCTATGACTACATGCCTAACAAAAGTTTAGACTCCTTTATATTCGGTTCGTTCCTACTCCTCTTTTCATTATCTGTCACCGCATGATATATGGTTTCTTGATTGACTTAACTACGATAGCTACTAAATTTTTCTCTAAATGGAAAATGGAAATTCTGCAAGATCAAACAAAAAGCATGTTTCTCAACTGGGAGATGCGTTTTAGCATCATTTTGGGAATCGCTCGAGGGCTTCTTTATCTTCATCAAGATTCCAGATTGAGGATCATTCATAGAGATTTAAAAACCAGCAACATTCTCCTAGATGAGGAGATGAACCCCAAAATATCCGACTTCGGTTTAGCGAGGATTGTTGGAGGCAAGGAAACTCAGGCAAACACAAACACTGTAGTTGGAACTTAGTGAGTTACTAAGTTTTGTGTCTATGATTTCATATTCTTGACCCTTTTAGGGGAAAGTGCTTTTGTGCCTGCATAAGTTACAAAGTTTTTTTTTTTTTGTGATACAGTGGTTACATGGCTCCGGAGTATGCATTGGACGGAACTTTCTCAGTGAAATCAGATGTCTTTAGCTTTGGCGTGGTTCTTCTTGACATAATCAGCGGAAAAAAGAACACAGGCTTTTACCAATCCGAACAAACTTTCAGCCTCATAAATTATGTAAGACAGCAAGTGCGTCGAATATTTCATATCCATTTTTAACCTCAATTTACACTTGCATCAGTCTTGAATTTTACCATTTTCCCAGGCATGGAGACTCTGGACAGAAAACAAGGTGCTGGATTTAATGGACAAGACTTTGGACGAAAGTTGCAACAAAAACCAGTTTTCCAAGTGTGTCAATGTCGGCCTCTTATGCGTACAAGAAGATCCAAACGATCGGCCCGCCATGTCAAACGTTATCACCCTGCTTGACAGTGAAACTGCAACCTCTCCATCTCCTAAACAACCAGGGTTTCTGTTAAACCCCACCCCCATATTTTCATCCTATTTCTATTTTCCCCCTAGAATATATTTGTTACCTATCAATTTAGTCCCTTATTCTCTTTTAATCCTAACCCTTGATCTAGAAAGGCTATTGATCTTAAACTGCCATGTGGCAGCTCTCAGATCCCTCTTTCCTTTCATCTCTGCCCGAAACACATCTCAGAATCTCACAGCTCTCTTTCTTTCGGTTTCTTCTCTCTCTTTCTCACACTCTCTAAGCTCCGAGAGCTTCTCTCTAACTTTCACCTCATTTCCTTCACAAATCAAACCCCAAAAACCATATATTTGGAATCCTTGAGACCTAACGAACTCAATGGTACCCTTGCATGCGCCATCTGAGCACCGTGGGTTTTTCTGCCATTGAAGCCGAGAGCTTCAAAGCTCTAAAACTCGAACCCAGGTAAAGATTGTGTTCCTTCTTCAAATTTCTGGGTTATGCTTGTTGGTTTTATGACAAAACTCAAGGGTTTTGATCTCAGTTTTTCTCTGTGTCAGTAATCTAGCTCTGACGATGAACTCCGATGAGTTCGAGGTCCATCTCTTCCCAAAACCTGCTGCAGTGCGTCTAGGTGAGTTCTTAGGTATATTTGTGAAGTTTTAGAACCCTTTATTCAAGCCCTAACCCTTGCCATCCCTTGTGCATGCATGTCCGGTTCCGACGACGAACTCCGGCGAGTTCGTAGGTGTGTGTATGTGCGTGAACCGTGTGTGCGTGTGTGTAAGTATGCATGATGCTGTGCGTGTGTGTGATTATATATATATATATATATGCATGATGCTGTGCGTGTGTGTGATTATATATATATATATATGCATGATGCTGTGCGTGTGTGTGATTATATATATATATATATGCAAGTGTGTGTGTGCAGCGCATGCTTTGCATGTGTGTGTGTGTGGGTGAGTATGGGTTGGGCTCCAGCCCAAACCACCTCTTGATCCTAACCTATCCAAATCCAAGGCCCATTTCCATTTCCTAGAATTATATTGTTGGGTAGTTTGATTAACTGTACGTTCTTGTACTTAGGGGCAATTATTGCAACGTTTCTGTTTTCGCTAGTGGGCGCAGCTTTTGACGGAGTATCTGTGAGTGGACCACCTTTGAAAATTGCATGTTTTATTGATAGAATTGCATAATTTAATAGCATGCCTTGCAGAATTATTGATTTGAGGAATTCTTTACAGGAAGCATGATGATTTGATTATGCTTGATTATATATATTTTGAACTATTTTCATTATATTGTATTTTCTATAGAACCCTCATTCTGGTAGACTATCTGATCGATGACGATAGGATGCTAAGAATGTGTTTCAATTGACTTTCGAACACCTCTTCGTAGTATAGAGGATCGATGAATTTATGCTACGAAGTTGTATTTTAGAGATGAATTATGTTTTGTGCGTACCTAGTGAACACTATGCCGCCTGGGGCGAGGATCTAGTGTTGGCATTGAGGCCGGGAGAAATAATCCCTAGCGAAAGGCTGAGGGACACGGAGACAGGCATTGGGCCGGGAGGGAGATATCTCTGGCTACGGGCACAGAGACTGAGGTGCAGGCATTGGGCCGGGAGTATTATTATTCAGTGCACTCACTAGCAGCACAACTTGTATTATGCTTCCTGATATGATTGCTGAGATAATTTTTGATATGATTTTCTGAGATTGATTTGCAGAAAGATATATGAATTGTTTTATGGCATGCTAAGGGTTTCTGAAAAGCTTATCACTTATTATTCTAGTAGTTTTCATTATTAAACTGTGGGGGTTAGTATGTTCATAACTGTTTTCGTACTACGTATGTATATAAACTTGGTCCACTCACCCTTGTTTTGCGCCCCCATTCAGGTCTTAGAAACGAGGCATAGAATCCTGGCATCAAGGCACTTTCGCAGCAGCATCTTCGAGTCCTTTCGGGGTAGGACCTACTCATTGTTCATTCAATCTTATCTTAATTCTTGTTAGTGACTAGGTTTAGTTGTATGCTCTGAACACGTTCCTAAATTGTTAATTCATTGCTTTTAAATTCATAACCCGTATTTATTCCTTATTACTAGCTTTTGTATCAATAAATGGCTTTCGTCACCTCAGGTGTCGGCCAGCACGTGCCTATCCTGATATTCGGGGAATATCGGGGTCGGGGCGTGTCAGTTTCTCACAAGGAGAGGCAAATACAGCACAGCTTCTTCTTCTAGTAAGCCAGAAGCTATATCAGAAATAACCACTAGTCAGTGGCGGAGCTAGAAATCTTACCACAAGGGGTCTTAGTGTAAAAGTCCAAATAAAAATTTAGGATAGAAAAACATATTGAAAATTAAATCATAGTACTTTCATTCATAATTCATAACGGAAACAATATTACAAGCTACAATTGTCCACGACGAGGTTTCATATTTTGAAAACGAAGCATTATAGCTTCATTTTCAATACAAGCAAAAATATCTCTCTCAATATAAACAAGCAAGCTATCACTCAACCATTGATCTCCCATTTTGTTCCTAAGTGAACCCTTAATAATATTCATGACAGAAAATGTTCTCTCCACTGAAGCAGTTGCAACTGGTAAAACTAAAGACAATGTAATGAGCAAATATACATAATTGAATACTTGATGCGTCCTTGTCTCCACCATTTTTTTTGCAAGATCACCAACCCCTTCCAATTGAGAGAAATCACTATTGGAACGCACATAATGAATATAAATCTCAAGTTGATCTTCAAGTGCCAAACGATCCTCATCCGAAAAGTCTTGAGGATAAAATTGAGCAAGACGAAGTAACTTTGGTTTATCAAAAGCTACAAATGAATCTTTTGGACTCAAACATGCCAAACAAATAAGCAACTCAGTATTTACCTCATTAAAGTGATCCTCTAACTCCGTAATTTGCTCATCAATGACATAAATGAAGAGCTCCACACAATAATGATGACGATTTGTCTTTATTGGAGCATTACGCATTGACCTCCCTGGAAGTATAAATGCCTCTTCCATGTTAGGAACATCAATATGATGTTTTTCACAAAAAGAAGATACTTCATCAACCAATGCATCAAAACCATTATTCCTCATCCAATGTAGTTTTTCCCTGCATGAGACTTGTTTCTTGATTTAAGGTACCATAGTGTGAGTTCCATTGTCTGTCACCGGCACGTTTGAGACTTGTTTCTTGATTTAAGCCTCGCCCCGTTATAAGACAATCATTTTCAAAAGATATCACAAGCTCTTCTTGAAATTGCTGTCTAAGTAAATGACGTCGCTTACAAGATGCTCCAACATGATTAACCACACTATTAGCCGTTGCAAAAAAAAAAGGCAATGTCTATATTCTTCTTTGCTACGGCAACAAGAGCTAGTTGAAGTTGATGAGCAAAGCAATGAACATAATATGCACAAGGTTGTTCTCTCAATATCTTTGTTTTAAGGTCATTCAACTCACCTCTCATATTGCTAGCACCATCATAACCTTGTCCTCGTAGCTTGGAAATGCTCAAACCGTTGCGAGAAAAGAATGTGTCAATAGCATCCTTTAGTAAACTTGAAGTAGTGTCGGTAACATGTTGGATACCCACAAATCTTTCAATTACATGCCCGTTGTCATCCACATGACGCAACACCATAGCCATTTGCTCTTTCACCGACACATCATGTGCTTCATCCACCAATATTGAAAAGAATCTATCTTTTAGACCATCCATGATAGCATCAAGTGTTTCAAGGGCACATGAATTCACAATTTCTTTTTGAATGGAAGAAGCTAGTAATTTGAGATTTCCCGGAGCATTTTCCATCACAACTTCTCTAACTTTATCATCATTATCTGCAAGGAATTGCAATAGCTCCAAGTAATTTCCCCTATTGCTTGAAGTGGCACTTTCATCATGACCACGAAAAGTAAGACATTGTCGCAATAAAAACTTAGTGCACTTGATTGATGCATTTAAGCATGTGCGATAAGCCTTACGAGCTTGATCGGAGTGTTTGCTCACTGCCGTTTCAATATGTGTGCTTGATTCATCAAATTTGTAGCAGCTTCTCTAGCCTTATTATGAACACTCCCAACCGGTCCAACATGCATCTTAAATCTTTCTCTCCCTTTCTTCCAAGTCTTAAATTCATCTCTAGCGAAAACTTCACTACCCACTTGTTCAAAATTGGTTTTAAAGAGATAGCAATAGAGACAAAATGCCGCATCTTTAGATATACTATACTCCAACCAATCAAACTCATCAAACCATTGGGGAATGAAGTGTCGATTAATTCCCGACATATTAGTTATTGGGAAATAATGACCTCTAGGTTGACAAGGTCTTTTTTGTAGATATGATCTTCGAACCTCATCTCTCATATTAGCATCATAATCTATCATTTGAATTCTTAATCCAGGATCCGCTTGAAGATTACCCAAAACATCATCTAACTGACTTTGTCTTGAACTTGGAGTTCTTGAACTACCAACAATATTTGAACTATCAACATTATTCGAACTACATGAACCCGATGATGACTTTCTCTAAAGAAACCGTTCCATAATAATTCTACATATACAAAATATTCAAAATAAATACTCACAATATAAACAAACCATCAACATAATCAAAATAAATATGAATTGGATTTCAATTAAATTAAATATATTCTACATATACAAAATAATGAAAATAAAAACTCACAATATAAACAAACCATCAACATAATCAAAATAAATATGAATTGGATTTCAATTAAATTAAAGATATTCTACATATACAAAATAATGAAAATAAAAACTCACAATATAAACAAACCATCAATATAATCAAAATAAATATGAATTGGATTTCAATTAAATTAAATATATTTTACATATACAAAATAATGAAAATAAAAACTCACAATATAAACAAACCATCAATATAATCAAAATAAATATGAATTGAATTTCAATTAAATTAAATATATTCTACATATACAAAATAATGAAAATAAAAACTCACAATATAATCAAACCACCAATATAATCAAAATAAATATGAATTAGGTTTCAATTAAATTAAATATATCATACATTATATATAGGGTTTAGAACTTACTTGAATTGTGAAATTTCACAATAACAATGTCAATGAGCAAATATAAAGAGAGTAGCTGGCGCGGCACCACCACCACCACAGCGCGACACCTCAATGGCGGCAGCAAGGGAGGAGATGGAGTTGAGGGTTTGGGGGGGGGGGATTGAGTTTGGAACTTAGGGTTGGAGGAGGAGAAAACAAAAGAAAATTGGGGGTTTTGGAATGAGGGAGTCGGATCTGTGAAAGAAGAAGAGAGCTGCCTTTTTTTTTTTCAGACCTAGCCCAAAACGACGTCGTTTTGCCCAGGTTGTTTTAAAAAAAAAAGGCCCGCGCGGGCTCCTCCTTCTTCTTGAACCTGCAAGGCTGCCTTCTTTCTTCTTTCAAACATTCCGTCGAACAAGTGGTGTGCAGCTCCAAGAGGTCGCATCTGCAGCTCCAAGAGGTCGCACCAGCAGCTCCAAGGGACCTCTAAGATTATTTCCATGGCTTCCTAGGGGTCGTGCGACCCCATTGACCCCACTGTGGCTTCGCCTTTGCCACCAGTATGGTAGAAGGTAGATAATTAAAGGACGGTTGATACTCTAGTTTTTTACTCTTTTTTCACGTCTCAGTTTTTTCCATTTTTATGTTTAACGCTTATCGATGTAATTATAATAGCATGTCTCTAATGTTTCTGGTCAAAAAAGTTTGAGTTTGACCTCTTGGCAGTGTGACTTGGTTTCATCGTCTATTCTTTTCTTTCTTTTTCTCAGATTAATCCTCGATCGAGTTCTTGATTAACTTATCATGAAATCAACTTGGAATGAGTGTTTTTTTTTTTCTTTCTTTCTTTTTATGGGTTTAGGGATTCGATTTGGTGGATTTCAATTATATAAGCGATTTATGGTTAATGATATGTTTAATATACGGAGATTTAGATAGGGAAGTGATTTTTGCACGCACTTTATCACACTCAAACCCATACAGTTGCAACGTAACAAAATCACAAAAGTAGATCGTATACGAATCCAAAACAAAAGCACACAGCTTCACCAAACTAAGCATTCAAACCACCATGATTATCACCAAACACAGATTATAAATGTAAAGCATTCCATTGTTCTACAAAACGCTGGAATGGAATCCTCAAAACCGTTCCATTCTTGAATAGACAAGGAAATGAATGCAATTACTAGTTCCACTCTCGCATTCCGACCGACCAAATAGATGTCGTTTTCTTGTCTGGAATGTTAAACAGCGATTGTGGAAATCAATTACATCGAAAACGGACTGGTAATGAAGCCTATGAAAGGGTTCGCTTTCAACGGACCTGAAACCTTAGGTTTATTCATTTGAAGGAATCTATTTGAACTTGCGTTTATGTTTTCCTAATTGGAATGTTTTTTTATTGTTGGTAACGAGAGTAAATCGATCTTTGCTCCTTATTATTATACAATAATTACATAACTTGTGACCTAAGTAAAGCTACGAATCCATATTCGGGTTCGACGTAATTTTTTGTGTTAGTAAGATTTGTCATCGAAATTGGTTAACTACACAGATTGAATTTCTGCGTTAAAAAGCTCGATGATTCCGTGCATAGATCGATCATATTCCTCTGCAGAATTTGTTCGCTGACATGTATTGAGTTAGTAATAATATCATAATTAGAATTAACGGTTTGAAAGCTAATAGGTCATCTTGTTTATATTTCAAATCGCATTTTGTTGTAGCAATGTGCTCTCAATTACAAGGCAATCTTGTGTTGTTAGGCATTTAACTTTCTCATATGGCAGTGTGTAATTATCTCGAATACAGCCACAAATACATAGAAGTCTCCTTAATTTTAGATGATCATGGATAGCGAAAAGAGGTGAGTAGGAGCAAGGGCGATTCCAACTCTTTATAAGCCGTTGTAAGATTTTTTTAACTTTCCGGCATTCTTCACCTTCTGACGAATAGCCTTCACCCCCATTTGTGTGGATCCACTGTTTTATCTAACTCTTGACCAAATTGACCTAGTCACCTTCAGATAACGATAACTATTAATCTAGCAACTCAAACCGACCAATAATTTATTGGCACATTGCTCACAGCTTGCAAAGGTAACAAGTAGATGAAGGCATATAGGGGTACTTTTGAGAATATGGAAAACAGCATCAGGACAAATGATCTAGCTTAGATAATTGTATCCTTATGGTGATCGAAAGGGAACTTCACATTTCAGCAGGATCAAGAGGGAACTTGATCTGGTCAGATCCTAGAGATCGATGGTTGCAGCGTGTATAATAATTTTGGTAGTTGCAATAGCGAAAATGGTTTGGTTTGCAAGTGCTTACCTGGTTTTAAGCCTTGTTCGCCGGATAATTGGAACAATGGGGATTATTCAGCTGGATTTGTTAGGAAATCAACAAACAATGCTGTGAGCGACAAGTTCTTGAGTTTAAAGATGATGAAGGTGGGAAACCCTGATTCGCAATTTAATGCCAAAAGTTAGATGGAATGCAAAATAGAGTGCCTTAACAACTGCCAGTGCCAAGCTTATTTATACGAGGAGGTTCATATCACACGAAGGGGTGGAAGTAGTAGTTCTACATGCTGAATTTGGTTAGAGGATGTTAGCAATCTTCAGGAGGAGTATGTCAGCGGCCGGAACTTCCAGGTTCGTGTAGCAGTTGCGGATATAGGTATGATTCTCTTATATAAAAATACCGGAATTGCTACAGGTTCATGTAGCAGTTCCATATGTTCTTTTGGTAGACAATCATGCAAGCTAAACATTTGCTCGACTGTTTTTAAATTTTCAAGGAATTATATTTTTGTAGAGCAACATCGAGGAATTGCGATACTTGTGGTACAAACCTGATCCCTTATCCCCCTGAGCGCTGGAACAAAATGTGGTGATCCTACACACTAACCTCTCCACTCGCGGTTATGCGTGCGCGAATTATTTTTTTTTAGCTACGTCTGTCACATTTATGTTACTTTGCAATCTACAAATTTTTATGCTAAAGCATATATATTATAAACGTGGGCAGTGTGGCAGATTCAAGAAATATTATTTGAAAGGTCATTAAGAACAGTGTGGCAGTGGGCAAAATTTTAGGAACGGAATAGCATGCAAATTGGCATATCATCAAGCCTTGGTAGGCTTGAAGTCATTTGCCAAGTCACATTACACGTATGTTGACAGATGCCAACAACTTCTGAACAAGCATGTCGACTGATGTGAATAGTTTTTTAGTGAGCATGCCGACAGATGCCAACATATGTTGAGTGAGCCTATGGACATATGCCCATTATAATGCATACAAAGGCACGACACTAGCAGCTACCCCACATTTAGAGGTAATTCGTCGAGCAGTTAGACGGCATCTTTCGATGACATCTCAGATTTTCAAAAGGTGATACCCAATTCTTCCATGATGGATTTATGAGCTTGCGGAGGTCAGCTGACCTCGATGATAGAAGATATGTTGGCATATGGTATCCCCAATTGGGTCCGAGGACAGCGGTATGAGTTGCCAACAGAACCCCCAGTTCTCAATTCAACTAGAACCACATTTCTTGCACTCCAAGACTATAACCTTCAAGAGTTACTGGTCAGCGAGGGTTGAAACATGAACGATTGTATTTTATTTTATTTTTTAGAGGGATTTTGTTCATTTTGATTTTGGGTTTTCATGGTTTTTAGGATTTTTTTTCTATTTATATTCCACTTTATTTAGTAACACTCCTAAAATTATGAAGTATGTGACTCTCGTATTACAATTAATAATGTATTACACGAACAGTTTTAAACTAGTGGCATATTTATTTAGAGAATGTGAGAATTCATAATTCAATACCTAAAAAAAGTAAGAAATCATATTAACTAGAGAAATACTAAGGAAACTCTCAAAAGTGGAACTCTACTGGAATCTTTGACGCCTCATGTTTTCGGCACAATATTTAATAATGTATGCATGAGAATTGACATTAAACTGTAAGGTGTCAGAAAGTATAGAAAGACTTAATTTGAAAATGTCTCCTTAGCATTTCTCTGTTAATTATATGACCAATTGATTTGTTCCCATACAATTTCTCTCTCTTCTCGTTTCAAAGATTTCTCCCCAAGGGGTTACAAATCACAAATATTGTGTGTGGGCTGCTAAACAAGCGACTTCCACTACCACAAAACTGTTGGGCCAAATCCAAAGCCCAAAGGTTAATGTTGCCAACAGTTGGGTACGAACCTGCACTGCTGAAGCCCAGCCCAACATATGCCGCCAAAATTTTCCAAAATCCCATCTTTACCCCTCAAGGCACACTGAGATTTAATTTTCAAAAGGAATAACAACCATCGACAATGGGGCTCCGGCCGATCGGATCGTCATCCTCGTGCTCACGCTTGGCTTCTAAACAACGGCGCCGCAGCGAGGTGGTGCAAATGGCCGAGCGCCGGAGGTGGAGATACTCACTCGCTGGCCACCACAGGATTCTCCATTTCCGAATAGTATGCTCCTCATTACTACTTAATCATGCTTATTTTACTTAAAATAAAACACAAGATAAAACTGCTTTGGTCTGCATAATTGCCATATGCTCCCCAAAGAAGATGAAGAACCAAAATTCAAATCTAATTGTTAATTTATTTTCTTTCAAATTGCATTCATGGGTAAAATCAAAGTTTTTGGATGTACCCCCATTGTAACGTAAACAATTTGAGCTTGTAGTTCAAGTGGTCAGTAATTTTTTTTTGTTCGGGGTCTAAAATTCTACCGTGCTTGTACAAAAGAAAAAAAAGTCATTTACAAAATAAGAGGGAAAGCGAGAAGTAAAGTTGTGGACCCAGATAAAATATACGACCTTAGACTTTGCGCCAGCTACTTTCTTTTTGGGTGCTATAACTTGCATTGGCTACTTTTCTATCATTGAGCTCTGTCCGTATATATATGTATATATGTCTATATATATATATATATGTCTATATGTGGACACAAAATAAAGATGAAATGTACAGAACTCGACGACCTTGACCTTCCACATTGGGCCAACTACTCTTCACCCCAGCATTGAGTGATTGCTACAAGATCAATATTTTCTGCTCTGGCCGCCGGCCGGTACGTAAATTTATCATTCTCTACGATATTTGTTAATTAAGTTGCCAATCCGCTGTTAATCCGTTTTAGTAAAATGGCTTATGGGACAAAATTTGCAGTCTAAGAGAGCTTTATGTTTTTGCAAGTAGGTAATGTCTTAGGTACTTCTTGATAAATGCTGATGGAAAAGATCACGACATCTTGGTAGCTGTAGCCTCCTTAATGATGTTTCTCAGAGGGAGGTTAACAAGATCAAATTACGTGGTTGCATCGCTTGCGAATCGCATGCTGTTTTCCATCTTCGTTTCGTATGCAGCAGTGTTGTTGTGCTCATCTCAACCATTTTGCTGTGCTAGAGATACAATAACACACGACACTCCAATTACCGACGGTGTTGAATCAGAAACTCTTGTTTCATCTGGTGGAAGATTTGAACTCGGATTCTTTAGCCCTTCACCTGAAGGGACTCAAAGATATGTTGGCATATGGTATCACCAACTGAGTCCGAGGACAGTGGTATGGGTTGCCAATAGAGAAAAGCCAGTTGACAATTCCACTAGTAATGGAAGTCTTGCACTCCAAGATGGTAACCTCCATGTGTTGGATGCTGCTGGAAACAGGTACTGGTCAACGGAGGTTAAAACATCCGAGTCTTTGACGCAGACTGTGACGCTCATGGATTCCGGGAACTTTGTTCTAAGCAGTGGCCATGATAAGTTGGCAGTGAATATTCTGTGGCAGAGCTTTCAAAGTCCAACCGATACATTCATTCCTGGGATGGTAATGGATAAAAGATTGGTGTTGACTTCATGGAGAGGCGAAGATGACCCGAAAAGCGGGCAATTCATCTTCAAAAAAGATCTAGTTAGAGAGGACCAGTATGTCATCTCAAAATCAGAATCGATTCCGTACTGGAAGGGCGGAGAAAGGGCATCTGATACAATTGACAGCTTTGATCAAATGCTTCCTGAAGTTAGTGACTTATTATCAAATTTCAGCAAGAAATCTGTTCGAAATTTCACCAACATTTTCAATTCTCCGAGTCAAAACTCTTCTTATAGAACTAAATATACAAGGTTGGTGATTAATATTACTGGAGAGATACAGTTTTGGAGGTGGATTAATTCCACAAAGCAGTGGAATTTGTATTGGTGGGCGCCAAGAGATAAATGCAGTGTGTTTAATGCTTGCGGCAACTTTGGCAGCTGCAATGATAATAATATGCCGTTTCTGTGCAAATGTTTGCCAGGTTTCAAACCCCAGTATCTACCGCTGTGGAATTCTGGAGACGTTTCGGGTGGATGCACAAGAAAGTCCGCATTATGTGACGACAACAAGAATTATACCTTCTTGAGCTTGAAGAAGATGAAAGTGGGAAACCCAGATTCAGAAAGCAACATTGACAATGAAACAGAATGCAGGAACGGGTGCTTAAATAACTGCCTGTGCAAGGCTTATTCATATGCTAAATCTGAAAGCAATAGTCATCAAAGGGAGGCGCCTACTTCATTGTGCAGAATATGGAACGTGGGAGATCTAAATAATCTTGAAGAAGAGTATACCAATACGGGCCAAGACCTCTATGTTCGTGTTGCGTTGTCTGATTTAGGTAATCTTCCTCTGAAGTTTTCCGAAACTATTAAATGAATGTGTGGATGGCAGATTTTTTTTTTGTGTGTGAACATTAGATGATCAAACCATTTTCCAGCGAAAAAGTAGAACTGGCAATGAACTTCAGTTACAAGAGTTTTATCTTTATGCTTTCTGTTGTTTCACGCTATTCCTTACATGTATATAGTTTCAATTAGCATGATTCTATTTACCTTTGATTAAAAGCGGGTTAAACCTTTTTGAACATAATTGCAAAAGCATGAGATTATTCGATGTCAACATAAATGAGGTACTGATAATTTCTTAGCTCGTTATGACAGTCAATTAATTACACCTTGTGCAGAATCAACTCTAAGAGACTGTAAGCCTTGCGGCACAACCATCATCCCTTATCCCCTGAGCACAAGACTGGGTTGCGGTGACCCTTTGTACTTCCGTTTCAAGTGCAACTACTTCACAGGTCAGGTTAGCTTTGTGGGACTGAATGACGCCTTGTTTAGAGTTATTAGCATAAACTCAAGTACCCAGAGATTTTTCATCCAAGGCTTCCATACCGAAAATGTAGATAACAGTGATCCTAGAAACAGAGCGGCTAAGCAGATCAATCCATCGTTTCCATTTAAAGTAATCAGTCCAGGTAATGCTGACCTGGCTAATTTTAGTTCTGAAGTACTGTTGTCCAGCGGTCCTAATGTAGTGGAGATGGGTTGGAAGCTACCAATGGAACCAAACTGTACAACATCTGCAGACTGCAGGGATTGGGCACATTCAATTTGCAAGCGTGCACGAGGTGGAAAGAAAAGATGCCTGTGCGAAACCAATTTTCGATGGAATGGCTTGATATTAAGATGTACTCAAGGTGAAAATATCATGTTAGGCATAAAATTTCGGTCATGCATGTGCCCTCTTGCAAATCAAATTTTTATGTTGATACCAGTGCTGCAGATTCATTTTTCATTGTACAATACAGTAGAAATGATTATATGACAATAAAAAATATTTTCTTTTCTTTCTTGCAGAAGGTAATCTTCTAGGGCAACCAAAAGAAGAGCATACGAGAAGAAAATTGCCATTGTCTCTGATAATTGTAGCGGTCCTTTTAAGTGTGATTTTTCTGGCGTGCATCGTCATTTCCATTTATATATGGCGAAGAAATATGAACAACAAACGAGGTAACTGCTTTTCTATATGCGTTATTGTCATGAAAGATCTGCAGAGTTGTTGATAGTTGATGAGAATAAATGTCTTCAATTCCCTGTATTAGATCAAATAAGACGAGGACAATTTGATAGTGAAAGGAGAGTCAAGGAGTTGATAGACACAAGCGAGTTCAAGGAAGAGGAAGGTATAGATGTACCTTTTTTTGATATGCAAACTATACTAGACGCTACAGATAATTTCTCAAATGCAAACAAGCTTGGACAAGGGGGATACGGGCCTGTTTACAAGGTAATCGAGCAGTTGTTTACCATTCCTTAGTACTCGAATCACCTTATGTAGCAATACTTGTTTGTCATTAATGTTTATCTGTTGTGGTTTCTTATAAATTTATATGTAAGGCATTTTGTTGCAGGGAATGTTTCTTGGAGGCCAAGAAATCGCGGTGAAAAGGCTATCAAGGGTTTCAGGACAAGGCTTACAGGAATTTAGAAATGAGGTGGTGCTGATCGCCAAACTTCAACACCGAAACCTTGTTAGACTTAAGGGCTATTGCATGAAAGGAGAAGAAAAGATCTTACTCTATGAGTACATGCCTAACAAAAGTTTAGACTACTTTATATTCGGTTCGTTCCTACTCCTCTTTTCATTATCTGTCACCGCATGATATATGGTTTCTTGATTGACTTAACTACGATAGCTACTAAATTTTTCTCTAAATGGAAAATGGAAATTCTGCAAGATCATACAAAAAGCATGTTTCTCAACTGGGAGATGCGTTTTAGCATCATTTTGGGAATCGCTCGAGGGCTTCTTTATCTTCATCAAGATTCCAGATTGAGGATCATTCATAGAGATTTGAAAACCAGCAACATTCTCCTAGATGAGGAGATGAACCCCAAAATATCTGACTTCGGTTTAGCGAGGATTGTTGGAGGCAAGGAAACTCAGGCAAACACAAACACTGTAGTTGGAACTTAGTGAGTTACTAAGTTTTGTGTCTATGATTTCATATTCTTGACCCTTTTAGGCGAAAGTGCTTTTGTGCCTGCATGAGTTAAAAGTATTTTTTTTGATATAGTGGTTACATGGCTCCTGAGTATGCATTGGACGGAACTTTCTCAGTGAAATCAGATGTCTTTAGCTTTGGCGTGGTTCTTCTTGAGATAATCAGTGGAAAAAAGAACACAGGCTTTTACCAATCCGAACAAACTTTCAGCCTCATAAATTATGTAAGACAGCAAGCGCGTCGAATATTTCATATCCATTTTTAACCCCAATTTACACTTGCATCATTCTTGAATTTTACCATTTTCCCAGGCATGGAGACTCTGGACAGAAAACAAGGTGCTGGATTTAATGGACAAGACTTTGGACGAAAGTTGCAACAAAAACCAGTTTATCCAGTGTGTCAATGTCGGCCTCTTATGCGTACAAGAAGATCCAAACGATCGGCCCGCCATGTCAAATGTTATCACCATGCTCGACAGTGAAACTGCAACCTCTCCGGCTCCTAAACAACCAGGGTTTCTCACAAGGAGAGGCAACTCCAGCACAGCTTCTTCTAGTAAGCCAGAAACTATATCTGAATTAACCACCAGTATAGTAGAAGGTAGATAATTAGAGGACGTTGAAACTCTTCACGTCTCCTTTTTTTTCTTTTTTATATTTAACGCTTATCGCGGTAATTGTAAAAGCATGTCTCTAATGTTTCTGGTGAGAAAAGTTTGAGTTTGACCTCTTGGCAGTGTGACTTGGTTTCATCGTCTATTCTTTTCTTTCTTTTTCTCAGTTTAATCCTTGATCGAGTTCTTGATTAACTTATCATGAAATCAACTTGGAATGAGTGTTTTTTTTTTATATTTTTTATATATTTTTATTTTTATGGGTTTGGGGATTCGATTCCCTGGATTTCAATTATAAGCGATTTATGATTAATGATAGGTTTAACATACGAAGATTCAGATAAGGAAGTGATTTTTGCACGTTCTTTATCACACTCAAACCCATACAGTTGCAACGTAACAAAATCACAGAAGTAGATCGTGTACAAATCCAAAACAAAAGCACACAACTTCACCAAACTAAGCATTCAAACAACCACATGATTATCACATGTGGAATTTGATACTTAAATTTGTTGTGTATTTCTTGTGTCAGATTACAAGGAAGACACCGATACATATAGCAGCAAGGGAAAGGATGGCACGTAGGCCACCTTTGACCCGAGAATTAAGACTAAAATCTGCTAGAGTAAACAACACTCTTCCTAAAAAATAAGGAATATTACAGCAGGCTAGGGTTACATGAAAAGTACAACAGAAAGAAGACAGCATGCTAGGGTTACATGAAAGATACCACTGTTCTAAAAATCCCTGTCTAGTGCCGCCTAGGCCCCGCCTAAGCGCTAGGCCCCAGCCCACCGTCCTGATTAATGCCTAGGCCCCAGCCCACCGTCTAGACCACCTAGGCACCTGCCTAGCCCGCCTAGGCACCCGCCTAGACCTGCCTAGGTTGCAACTCATTTAGACAGAAAATACATAACTTTCATTTTGCATTTTGTTTTTTTCCAATAAATTGTAAGAGACTTGTTGCATACTTGAACGAACAAACATTATATCCTTATTTCACATGTTTTCATTATGTTCCAATACTTCATGATATATATGCATTCTATTTTGTAGTTTATGATGAAATTATATATATTTCAAGTAGAAGCAGACACTTATTTACCTGAAATATGATAGATTTACTTAAATCCGTATAGTCCGCCTAGGCGATAGGTCCCAGCCTGCCGCCCGACTAGCGCCTAGCGACTTTTAGAACCTTGAAAGACACAAAGGATCAAACACAATGATTTCTAGGGTTCATAACCTCCTGGAATTAAGGTTGACTTTGCACTTGATTGACACTGATTTATATTTCCAATATCACCAAACACATATTATATATAGATATGAAGTATTCCATTGTTCTACGAAACGCTGTAATGGAAGGACTTGGATTGTCTGCCCTCCCATTTAGGTGCCCTCCCCGTGCCCTCCTGTTTTGTGTGGTCACAGTTAAACCACGTTAATATTTTATATTATTTTTTTACAAAAATAATAAAACAAAAAAAAAATAGTAATATAAAATGTTGACGTGGCTTAACCGTGACCATAAAAACAGGAGGGCACAGAAATTGGAGGGCAAACAATCCAAGTCCGTAATGGAATCCTCAAAACCGTTCCATTCTTGAATAGATAAGTAAACGAATACAATTTCTAACTCCACTCTCGCATTCCGACCAACCAAATAGAGATTATTTTCTTAATTGGAATGTTAAACAATGAGTGTGGAAATCAATTACATCGAAAACAGATATCTGATAATGAAGCCTTTGAAGGGGTTCGCTTTCAAACGAACCTAAAATGAATTACAAATATTTTCAATTATATAGTTATCTGTCTATGACCCAAACGGATAAACTATACAATATTTTCGATAAGATGACGAAATGTAACAAATTTTCGTGGTAATAATCAATTGAAGTTCTATTATTTGGAAACAAAATCCCACGCAAAACTACAGCAATCCGACCTTAGCTCAGTTGGTAGAGCGGAGGACTGTAGTGGGTAATATTCTCTCAGCCATCCTTAGGTTGCTGGTTCGAATCCGGCAGCTCGGATTTAAGTTTTAGTGTAACTTATTTTTTCATTTTTTTAATTTAATAAAAAAATTTCTTGTACCGTCGAAGTTACTTGAAAAAATGGTGAAAACAAATCCAATTTCCCTTTTTTGGGGTCAAAATTTCCAATTTTCCTGATCATTGTATATATTTAGTAGCATTTTTCAACAAAATTCAGTGGTAACAAGGTTGCCCACCAACTGCTTGATATTATGACAATGGTCGCTACTCAAATTCTCAAAAAAAATCCAAAATTTGCATGGAGCTGCTTGAGATATGCCAGGCCAATCATACCTTTTACATTGGCAAAAATAAGGTAGCTCACTGAGTGCGATTCTCTAATGTAACAAAGATTTAGTTTTAATGGCGTCATCGTCCATATATGTTAGTCACGTGTTTAAAGAGGACAATATTCATCCAATAGACGATTGACATGTGATAATCAGTGCACGAGACACTCTCTTAACTTAGTGGGTTGGTAATAGGTGTATTTGATGCTTTTTTGCGCCATAGTGGAAGGTGATCATACGCACTTTGAACCTATTAAGTTGCTGGCTGGGCCAATAGGGGACCATGAAAAAGTACATTGTGGACTCACATTGTGTATTAAATTGCTGTCGCTACCGACATTTGGACTTAAATATTTGATGAAATTAAGGTTGTTCATGATGCGCATTTGTGCTTTTATGTTTCTCCTATCTGTTTGTACAAATTATTGGGACAAATTATTGTTGAACAGTTCTTCCTCCTCCTTTGTCTCTCTGTATCTGAATGGGGTGGCTTCTTCTTTGTGCTTTTATGTTTCTCCTATCTGTTTGTACAAGCCTTGACAATTTAGTACCGGGAGAATCTATCAGCACAGACCAGACCTTGATTTCTTCCAGTGGAACATTTGCATTAGGCTTCTTCAGTCCCGGAAATTCGAAGAAATTCTTCCTTGGTATATGGTACAACACAATCCCAAAGAACCCGAAAGTATGGGTTGCCAACAGAGAATTCCCACTTGATTCTCCAGGTGTATTAACGCTTAGCGGTGATGGAAATCTTGTGGTGTTAGATGGGATGACTAAAAAAATAGTTATCTGGTCGTCTAATGCATCGGTACCAGCTTCTGCAATGAATGCCACAACTGCTGTACTGATGGATAGTGGAAACCTTCAACTAAAACTTGAAGAAGACATTTTGTGGCAGAGCTTCGATCATCCCTCTGACACATTGTTGCCTAGCGTGAAGCTTAGCCTGAACAAGCTAACAGGTCAACAAGCGCTTCTGACATCGTGGGCAGCACTTGATGATCCACAACCAGGAATGTTCAGCTTAGGCATTGATCCGAAAGTTCAGAGGCAGCTAATTACCTGGAGGGGAAATGCTACCTATTGGAGAAGTGCTGTATACTTCGACAAGGAGTCAAAAACATTCTTTAGAAATCAAAGCGGAGGCTTCTTTTACGTTGCTTACAGTTTTGATGCTAATGAGATTTATTTTACTTTTGGTGTGTCGGATAGTTCAGTAAAACTGAGGGCTGTTTTGAGTCCAACTGGGCAGTTCAACCTACTGTTGTGGACGGAGAGAAGTAAGACATGGTTTGAAGCATGGGGAGAGCCTGTCAATAAATGCGACTATTATGCTAGATGTGGTCCATATGGTGCCTGTGATAAAATGGTGATCCCCTTTCCTCACAATGCAAGTGTTTGAAAGGTTTTAGGACTGAATTTCAGAAACAATGGGCTACAGGGGACTGGCCCGGTGGTTGTGTTTGGGAAAAGGCATTGACATGTGATAAAGGGGAAGGGTTTTCGAAGTTTGAGAAGATGAAACTGCCAGATCATGCTATTATTTTAGGAAATATGAGAACGAGTGAGTGTGAATTTGAATGCCTTCGGAACTGCTCTTGCACAGCTTATGCCTATTCAAATGCGACAGAAGAAGGTACTATAAAATGCTTGACATGGTTTGGTGACTTGACGGATCTTGTAGAGAATCATGGGCTTGGGCAAACCATGTATATTCTGTTGGGAAGAACTTAGAGTACACAACTCTAACACAAGTGTTGGAGAGACAAAACAAGTAAACAAATTACTTGTATTACACTCACAAAATATTACAACACTCAAAACACTCAAAGACACACTTTAGAAGCAATGACACTCACTCACTTTCTAGAGACAAACTCTAGATCACTCACACTCCTCACAAGGCTACTCTTACTTCTCACTCTCACTTGGTTGGTTGGTTGGTTGCTTGCTTAATTGATACAAATGGTGTGGATGCCTTCTCCTTTTATAGGCATGGATGGAACCTTGGAGAAGCATGTAATCATCATGCTAGAGATATCTAGATAATTCTATTAACTACTAATCTTGCATGTTGGTAGAAACCTGACACGCCCCGATCCCGATATTTCCCCGAATACTAGGATAGGCACGTGCTGGCCGACACCCGAGGGTGACGAAAGCCATTTATTGAGTGTACTTGCTGAAAATAAAGGATAGATAAAACTTATAAATGTAAAAGAATAAGGAATATGCATTTAAGGAACGTGTTCAGAGCATACAACTAACTAGAACACTAAAAGAAATAATATAAAATTGAATGAATAAAAGAATGAGTCCCACACCAAGAGGACTCGAAGATGCCGATGCGGAAGTGCCTTGATGCCGGAATTGTATGCCTCGATTCTAAGTCCTGAAGGGGGCGCAAAACAAACATGAGTGGACCAAGTTGATATATATATAATAAAACAGTTATCAACGTACTAACCCCCAGGTTTTATAAAAACACATATATAATGATAAACATAGGTTTTCCGAAACCTAGCATGATGTGCAGTGTCTCAAATCATAACTTGTATATATAATAATCACTAGTGAATTGTCCGATAACCCCCAGGCCCCATGCCGGCTCCCCGTCTCTGAGCAGACAGTCAGAGGAAAATACACTTCAGGCCCCATGCCGGCTCCCCGTCCCTGTGCTAAATAGCCAAAGGAAACATACTCCAGGCCCTATGCCAACACCAAACCGTCGCCCGGAACGGACCAGAATCTATCCCTACGTCCCGTAGCGGAAAGGACCACTAGGTAGGTACAAAACCATTGAACATATATATATTGAAACAACTTCATAGTATAAAGTCATCCATCATCTATACTATAAAGAGGTGTTTGAAACATGTTCTAAATATCATATCGTCATCCATCAGATATTCTATAAGAACACGGGTTATAGGAAAAATAGTAATAATTCAAAGTAGCCTTAGTAAGCATGTTATCTCACAAAACGTTTCATAAAACGTAATCATCAAATCATGCTTTTCATGTATGCATTTCTACTATAAAACATGCATTTTAGAAAGGGTCCACTCACAGTACTTAGCCGCCGAAGAACCACGCAAACTAACGAACAAGAAAACGTCACCAATAATTGCCCCTAAGCACATAAAGGGTCCAATTAATAAAACTCTATTTTAACAATTGAATTTGGGAAAACGGACTTCAAAAACGGGTCCAGGACGTCGAAATTACCCTAAGAAGGTTTCCGGATAAATTTCTTAAAAGTCCATAGAATATTCCTTGAATATTCCCTGACGGAATATTCCCCAAAAATGTTTGGATCGGTTAAGGTTTAGGGTTTTAGGATTTGGGTTTGGGTTAGGTTAAGGGCTAAAAGGGTTTGGGTTTTAAAAGGAAAATGAGTTTGGATTTAGGGCTTTCACAAATGAGGCCCAAGGCCTTTTAAACAAATAATAACAATATACTAAAAACAAAATAAAATAAAAGGAGGTTGGGTTGGGTTTCTAGGTAAAGGGGTTTAGGTTAGTTTTGGGTTGGGCTCGGCAGAAAGGCCCAAAGGTCTTGGGTTGGTGGGTCGCCGGATTCAAAGGGAGGAGAAGGCCGGAATTCGGCCGGAAAACTACCCAACTTTAAACGGCCATAACTTTGTCACTACTCAACGAAATCAAGCGAGACAAAAATGAAAGTTGTAGCCCTGGAAGAGACGAAGAGAATGATACCTCACACGACGTATAACTCGCCGTGGTTTGGCCGGAAATGGCCTCGAAAGCCTCGGAGGTCGCCGAAAACTGGGTAAGATTTCAAATGAGTATAACTTCTTCAATACTCAATGAAATTGAGTGAAACAAAAAGGAAAGTTATAGTACTCGACGAGACGAAGAGATTGGTACCTTGCACGCCGGCCAACTCGCCGTGGTTTGGCCGGAAATTCTCTCGAAAGTCGTCGGAGATGGGTGTGCCTACACCCGGCTTCGATTTCGTCCTATAACCTCCAAAAATCACACAATAAACTCAATTAAAACTCAACCCACAAGATTCTTGGACGAAATAAGGGAGATTTGAGGCTTACCTCACCGGGAAAATAGGAACTCGCCGGAGTTCCTTTCCGGGTTTCCTGGGGTTGCAGCACGGGACAGAAGGGGAGAAGGACGAGATGGCGACGATGAGGGGTCTTCCTCGTGCAGGGGAGATGGTTGCGTGCGTGCGTTCGCGGTTGAGAAGAGAGATAAGGGAGCTGAGAGAAGTCCGAGAGAAGGGAGAGACATGACAGACAGAAAAAGAAGAAGAAGAAGGAAGGGGGGGTTCACGGGGAACAGAGAGAGAAGAAAGAGAAGTTGTTTGGGGGGCTGCCACGTGGCAGATTTAGAAAGAAAAGGGATCCAATACTTTGGATCCTGATTTGGTAGACAAAAAGGATGAAATAGATATATTTAAAACATTTAGGGGTAATTACAAACATAAATCTTTATAATTAGGGGGCGGGTGTTACAAAACCTCACCATTTTTCTAGACTTTTCCACCAACTTGAACTTTTCTAGAATTCTCTAGCATGTGTATGGATCTTTCTTTGTCCATGGGCTGGATCCATCTTGGGCCAAGGCAAGATTATACTTCAACACAAACACCAATTGGGCTGGTGTTGATCTTCAACACTCCCCCTCAACACCAGCTCATTCTTTTCTCCATGCTAAGTTGACGACGAAATTTTTCAAACTTGCCAGTACTCAAACCTTTAGTGAACAAGTCCGCAACTTGTTCATCTGTGTTAATTTGTCTCATCTCAATCTCTTCTTGCAAGACCTTCTCTCTGATGAAATGATAGTGTACCTCCACATGTTTAGTTCTTGCATGAAAGACTGGATTTTCCGCCAAGCGAATTGCTGATTGGTTATTACAGTACAATGGTACTGGATAGTCTACTAGTTGATGTAGATCACCCATCAACTGTACCAGCCATGCATTCTCTTGAGCTGCCATTGCTGCTGCTCTATACTCTGCTTCTGTGGTTG